CTAAGGATTGCAAATCAAAATGTTCATATCTCTTCCTCTGGTGAATTCACTCCAGGCTCGGTGCAAAAAGGGCAAGTTCAGGGGGAAATTTCGATAGATAGATAGATAGATAGATAGATAGATAGATAGATAGATAGATAGATAGATAGATAGATAGATAGATAGATAGATAGATAGATAGATAGATAGATGACAGATAGACAGACAGACAGACAACCTTTATTGTCATTTTTTACTGCGGGCACAATAACACACATTAAAAATGAAATTTAATTGCTTGCTCTCAAAGTGTTCACATACATAACACACATTTAAACATACTATATGCAACATATGTATAGACCTACACCCTTATATACTGTCCATCATGAATACTTAACGGACATGCAAATGAAGCAAGATTTACTGGGCAAGGGGAGCAGTCCTGCTGAGGTGGCCTAAAAAATTTTTTCAGGATAAAAGTAAGATTGTTATTTTGTGTATCTTACCTAAAAGAGGAAAATAAATAAAGACAGCCCCTAACAATTTTCATACACATAATTATGTATGAGATACGATATGGTAAGAACTAGTTATACCCTTTTTTTAAAAAAAAGGCTAGGGAATCCCTCCACCACCACCACTCTCCACTATGTGCAGCATTTTTACTCAGTCTTATTCCCCCACGGCTTATTTTGTAAGATGTTACTCAGGTCTAGTTGTGTCTAAAGAACTGAGAATGAAGTATTTATTATGCCCAACATATATTAAGAAGCCCCTCGCCTTAGTTGATTTCAGAGAATATGGGTGGATTGTATTAAAGTATATATACCTAACTTTTTGAAGAATCCCTATATGCATATATGACAGTGATGGCGAACCTTTTAGAGACCGAGTGCCCAAAAACTGGCCCCTGCCCCACTCCACCCCCTGCCCCACCCCCGCTCTGCCCCCCATCCCCTGCCCCACCTGTCCACAGGGCCACTCACTGCCTCCAGCGCCCGCCGCAGATCTCCCAGGCAGACCAGCAGCGCTATGGCGGCCATACTCTCTGCCCGCACCCTGCAGCATCAACTGCATGATGGGGTGTCAGGGCAGAGTCTTGTCTACGCTGCCTGGCTGCCATGTCCTTGGCTGGACTGCTCCGTGTGGGCCACGCTCAGGGGCAACTCTCCTTCAGGGGGGCTGCTGGAGAGGAGGGGGTCGCGGAGGGAGGCAAGGCTGGGGCAACAGCACGTGTGCCCACAGAGAGGGCTCCAAGTGCCGCCTCTGGCACCCGTGCCATAGGTTCGCCACCACTGATATATGACATCTGTTCAGAAGAGGAAATTTGCATAACTTAGAAAATCTTGCTTTCATCATACCATTTCTCTCCACATGCACTCATTAAGTTTGATGTCAAGAATTCTCTAACAAAATCCCACATTCTGATACCACAAGTCCCTAACATGATATTTGTGCAACCCCATCTTCCCCAGTGGTTTCATTGGTGCTATGATTAGGGAAGAAATTAATATGCATATTAATTTAACTTACATAGCATATAGAACAATGACAATTTCTTACAATTTTATGAAATAAATCTATTTCACATTGATTATTTATCATTGCACAATTCCTGATGTGGGAGTTTCATTTTGAAGACTGCCACTGCCATTCACCAAAGTGAGATTAAAAAAAATGAAGGGTATTTTCATGCCTTAAATAATCTTAAATTGCTTGTAAAATATTGTAGCTTGCAAAACACTGGCAAGCTTTTGGCTTTCTTTCTCAGACTAGGATAACTATTGCATCTTCCTTCCCTTCCAGCCTCCTGTTGGTGTTTTTAAATCTCTCCCTCCACTCTTACTATTTTCCTCCCTTTCCCTCTGTCATGATTGTCTCTGCATAGAAAGTGTCAGATGAGATAATCAGAGCTTTTCAATTACACTTTTTAAATTCAGGAGCAACAGCAATGTATATGGTACTCCTCCTTTTTCCATCAACAGTGCTGGGTAGTTGGGCTGAAAGAAGACCCTATGAATTTTTATGACTGAAAGTACACTTGAGTTTGGATCTTCCTGATACTAGTCCAATATCTTAATTAGAAGACCACATTGGCTCTCTAGGCATAAAAGCAGTTAGTTAATTAAATGCTGCTGAGTTGGTGCCCTGTGATGTATAGAGAAATGTGCAGGATTTTGACATATTCCTTTTAGTAACCTGTAACTCTTCCAAAGCCATTACCAGTAATCTCTTTGAGTTTGCCTATCTGCCTTAGTCATTGTCATCATTGTCAGAACCATGCTTTTCTAATTCATTATGTTTGCAGAGTGTGCCCAAATTACAAGAGCAGTTCCTTCAAATTAAGAAGACATGGTTGTTCATTATTCTAAAGCTACATCAAAGCATAGCTTGTCCACATAAAAGATGAGGGCATATTATAGTTTCATTCTGATGAAAGTATAGCTGCTACTTTTGATTATATTTGAGAAGGTATTCCCCCCCCCTTGTGTTCATATACAAATGAAATATCTCCTTTCTGAAGCCTGGAGTCGGCTAGGATATAAAGAAAACCTCTTTATCTCAGTTTGGACACCAAATCCATTGTGAGCTATTTCCCTCCTTCAGTAGGAGATGCATCCTACCATTATTTATTGACCACAAGACAATGCATGGTTATTTGCCAACATAAAACACCTGCAGATTATTATTTATTTTATGAATTTTCAATCTCTTATAAACTGTTTTGAGGATTTTTAAAGAGACTAAATATTCAAAATGACTCAAAATGAGAGGGAGGGAGAGAGAGAGAGAGAGAGAGAGAGAGAGAGAGAGAGAGGGAGGGAGGGAGGGAGGGACTGATTCTCTATTTAAGTAAGGAAATATCCTTGAAAGGTTGGCCCAATTGGTCATGGGCTGTCTAGTTAAATAACAAAAGGATCTTACATATCTTTTTTATGCTTCTGGCTCGGCATTGAGCTAATATCACCTGCATGCTTTATTTCCATTATATACTACTCTTATCACATTCATCAACCAACCTTCAACTCCATATTCACATAAAATGTTCCATAATTCAAGTTTATCGTATACTTTATCTAAATCAAAAAGCATGCAATAATTTTTATTACTTTGTTGCCTCCTTTGCTGATACCTGACATTTCTACTTGTATGTTCAATATAATGATAGATAAAAAATGAATACTGGGTCAGAAGTCTTCTTGTTTCCTACTGACTTCCTGCATAATATCGAAATGTTATCCATTCAGTCCTACTTTAGAAAATTTAATGCAGTGCTTATTTTCAATTTTAATTCAGATATGCTCCCCCCCCCAGAGTTTTACTTTTATACTAAATAAAAAAAAATCTTTGATTGGAGAAATGTTTTTAAATCTAAGGTCAAACCTCTGTAGTAGTTTTGTAGAACCCTGAAGGAAGTGAGATCAAATATATTATTCTTGTGCTGTCCAAAGATAATAGAGGTCCTCAGGTTATGGTGGCACTTGGGACCAGCAGTGCCATTGCTAAGCAGTGCAGTCTTAAAATGTGACATCATGTAACTGCATTGCTTAGCAACAGCAGTACTGATTGCCATTGTAATCCCAGGAAGTGTGAGTCGTTAAATGGGAAGAGGCAAGAGCACAGGGGGTGTTGTGAGGAGGCCGGCCAAGACCTTGGGTGGGTCAGCAGAGACTGCAGGAAGGAGAGTGGTGCTGCAGATGGGGGATGCTATGGACCTTGTAATCCAAAGTAGAATTCTTTGGGAGGAAATCAGTAGGAGAGACAACTAAGATGATCCAAGGCCTGGAGACTAAAACATATGAAGAATGGCTGCAGGACTTAAGTTTGGCTAGTCTAAAGAAAAGAAAAAATAGGGGAGACATGATAGCAGCATTCGTATTTGAGGGGCTGCCACCAAGAAGTGGGGGGTCACGTTATTCACCAAAGCACCAGAGGGCAGGACAAGAAACAATGGTTGGAAACTGATCAAGGAGAGAAGCAACCTGGAATTAAGGAGAAACTTCCTGATAATGGGGACAATTAACCAGTGGAAGAGCTTGCCTCCAGAAATCGTGAGCGCTCCATCACTGGAGATTTTTAAGAAGAGGCTAGACAGTCACTTGTCTGAGATGGTATAGGTCCTCCTGCTTGAGCAGGAAGCTGGACTAGAAGACCTCCAAGGTCCCTTCCAGCTCTATTCTATTCTACTGGGGAACTTATAATCTTCCCTGCTGACTTCCCCATTGACTTTGCTTGTGGAAAGCCAGCAAGTTCGCAAATGGCAATCATGTGACGTTGTTCACTGTGATGTTAGCATGAGCCAGGCACCTGAATATCTGGTTCACAGTCATGCGATCATGGGGATACTTTGATAGTGGGAATTTTGAGGACTGATGGTAAATCCATTTTTTCAGCACCACCATAAGTTTCGATCATTGCTGAATTGGTGGGTGTAAGACAAGCATTTCCTGTAAGTTATCTGCTTGCCAAGAAATATCTCAATATCCCAAAGTAAACACCTTTACTTGAGTAGATGCTGTAATGCAATCTAGATTTTTTTTTCCTTTTGCTGCATGGCAAGGTGATTTAGACAAGCTATTTTTAGAATTTGAGGTTATTTTCTAAAATGGTTAAAATAGTTTTGTTGCCTAGCATTGGGAAGAAACTGCAACAGCAATGTTACGTTGGAAATGGTGGAGGTTTAATAAATGATTTTAGAGGGCAATGTAGAAGAATTGGTCTTTTCTGTCAAAATGTGAATGGAATTAGATGAGCCCTTTTTATCAGTTGTGCTGTGTAATTTTGCCTGTATATAAGAACTAAATTTGGTATCAGTGGTATCAATATCATGGAACCTGGAATACTTCCCCTAAAAATCTTCCTGTAACTTCTTAACACTCTGCTCTGAAGAAATAGATGAGGAATATCTATTATTATAGATAGGCACATCGGGCATTATAGAGACAACCATATCATTTTGAAAAGAAACATGCTCAAAAGTCTGTCATTTTGATCTCTGATATTATTTTGCTTTACAGACAAAAACTGGAATTGCTTTGCTATATGATGAAATATCTGAAAATGCCTATGAAATCCGATTGAAGCTTTCAAAAGAGGTACTAACAATTCAAAAACAAGATGTCATCTGTGTTAGTGGAAGTGTTCCCAATGCAAATGTAAGTGCTTCTATAACTTTGTGCTTCAAATCTTATGGTGGGCTTTTATTTATTTTAGATTTTTTTATCCCACTGTTATTATTTTTATAAATAACTCAAGATGGGGAACACACCTAGTACTCCTTCCTATTTTCTCCGCCACAACAATCCTGTGGGGTGAGGTGGGCTGAGGGAGAATGACTGCCCCAAAGTAATCTAGCTGACTTTCATGCCTAAAGCAGGAGCACAAATCACAGTTTGCAAGTTTCTAGCCTGATGCTTTAACCACTAGACCAAATTGGCTCTTATCATTATTGTCATCAATATTGAAATTGCTGTTATTTCAAAACTTCCTGAAAGTAATTTTCAAAATTTCTAATTCTAAAAATGCTAATTTCAAAGTGATGTCATTATAACAAATTGTACAAAGAGAAACTAAAGGTTTATTATTTGAAAAGAATAACAAAAATACATTTCCCTTTGTAGCTATTAAACATGTGATAGATTAATTTAGTGCTCTTAAATGTTTTGGATGGTAATCCCGAGAATTCCCATACTGCTTTGTGTTGTGGGAATTGTCATTTAAAATGTCAGATCTTCAAAATTGTCTACCCTGCAGGTAGACATAACTATGAAAAATGTATTTGGGACATTACTCGATGGGATCTGCCCAGGAGTTCACCATTTGAACTCGTGGTTTGAGCCATGTTGATTCTTACAAGGCTTATGCCTTAGTTTGCTATCTATGCTTTGTGCCTAAGTTAGGGCTTTGCCTACTAAAAGTTTGTTTATCAGCAAAGTGAACTCAAGTTATGAGTAATTAACTGATGGCTCACAACCACTTTCCTTTCCTGGAAAGCTAACATGCAGGACAGGTTGGCTGATGCAGTGCAAAAATGGCTGATGAATTGTCTGTTTGAACATGATTTATTCATCCCCATGATTCCAGCAACTCAGCTGGTATTTGTAGAACAGCAACAGAAAACAAAAGGGAGAGAAACAGCCATAACTTTAAAAATTGTCTCTTTTACAATAAAAAGTCCAAAAAGTTTTTGTTTGATGTTATTTCATTGTTATTGTCATTCTATGAAACGTCTCATTCCCTTCATGATATGATGTCTTTTTTGCTTCCCTTTCATTACAAAGATGCTTTTCTTATCCTTTCTATTCTTATTCAGCAAATTCTTGCTATATAGGAAGTAAACCTCTTCTCATGTTTTAATTGCTTTCATAATTTTATGAGTTTCGTCTACCATTTTCCTTCCTGTTGTTATTTTTTACCTTTTTCACTTTATTTCACTTATTAGCCTAGATAAGTATAGTTTCATTGCATCAAATCCAATATTGAACATGGGATTATGTATGTAGGTCAGTCAGGTGATAGACTTATCCAAATAATTCTAGTAAGGAAAGTTGTCTTATACCTGGTTTTTAGAACAGAACATTGATTTTTGAAGTTCTTTTTACTGGATTTTTGTCCTGGATTTGTCAAGATTCTAACTGACAGCAGAGAGAATCTCATAGTGATTAAAAAAAAAACTTTTGTAAAGGTTTGAGATATTTCAACTAGGAGTCCCTTGTTTTTAGATGACCTGGTCTTGCTTGTCAGATTTTGTCTTATAAACTCTCAGTCCCTTAAAGAAAGGTTGAACTATCCTCTTTAAAGTTTCCTGGAAATGGACCAGTTGCTTTGCCAACAGGTAGATTAGTTATACTATATTCTGAAGGTGAAGGAATTATTCAAAGAGGATACATGCTTTAATAATTATTACATAATTGGGCTACTTTTGGATAACATTTCTGGAACAAAACATGAATTGTCACAATGATTATATTCAGACTTTGCATGCAGAATTTTCTGTAGTTTGTAGGTACAGATCTGAGAACAACTTGAGCTTTTTTTCCATAATCTTTTGGAGCCTCTCAGGAATGGTTAGTCTTAATCCAGAGCCTAGGTTTAGAGATCATGGATGTGTAAAGATTATCATCTATAACAGGGGTGTCAAACTCGCAATGTCATGTGACGGGTTGCGACATACTGTGACTTTTATGCCATTGCCGGCAATGGGGTGGGCGCGGTTTTGCTATGATGCATCCGGCCCGCGGGCTGGCAGTTTGACACCCCTGATCTATAACTTATTTAAATCTACTACTGTCCTATATCTAACTTGTTGGCAAACATCATAAGGCATGCTGGCTGAGGAATTCTGGGAGTTGAAGTCCACAAGTCATAAAAGGGTCAAGTTTGAAGACCCCTGCCTTAAAGCTTAAAAATGATAGGACTATCATTTTTCAAGACCACTTGGCAGTTACAGAGGGCAGCTACATAATTCCAGGAAAGGACTCAGCAACTTTAGCTAGTTGCAGACAGAGGATGTACCTGAAACAGCTGTTTAGAGTGCAAATTGTTGCACCATCTGTTATGATAGGCTAAGTAGGGTCTTCATCATGGCCACAGGCATTTTCTGTTATAAGACTGACAAAACAAAAATCGCTTTGGCTTTTTTTGGGGGGGGGGCAGAGGGAAGCAATCTTATAAAAATATTGCAAAGCTACTTTTTTCTTATTTAAAAAAAGTCAGTATAATTAATACAAAAAACCTAAACTTTCCCCCCATAACTTATGAAAGAATAATGACTATCGCAGAGGGGGGAAAATAAAATAGGACACAGCAGAAGACTTATGTTTGTGGTGTGTGTGTGTGTGTGTGTGTGTGTGTGTGTGTGTATGTGTGTGTTCAATAATCTAGCCAAAAGGAATATGATTATTACCAACAGATAAAATAAGGTAGCATGTCATTAATGTTTCCAGCTTGTATAAACTATGCAGGGAAGTTTAAATTATTAATAAAAATAGAGCTGATTTGCACAGAATATTTCAAAACTCATATATTACAGCAAAACCGTTCAGACCTCAAAATTCAGGCAATATTAAATGTTAAATTCTGTTACATCAGTCATCACAAGTAATGGATATGTTCCAAAGCTCTCTACAGGCTGGAACTTCCATATCCAGCTATGAGGATAAATAATTCGAGCCCATGAACAATACTTGGAAACTTTTGGTGTGTAGATTCAAGTTGACGGGCAATATTGTAAATCTGTACGTGGTTGTTCCTTTGTTTTAAGATTGTACCAGAAGAAGAGTTTCTACAAGGTACTTATAAGAATCTAAGTTCAAGAAACACCATAACGTTCTTAGAAATAGACATTTTAGGGACTTAAGTTAATATGCAACTAGAAAAAAATGTTTGTTACTTCCTTGAATTTGTTTGGTCATACCAAACTCTATTCTGTTTTTCAAATTTAGGCACATTTTCTACAAGATTTTGTGATAGTTCAAATATCCATAAATATTCCCTATAGTTTGAGAGAGCAGTTGTATGTTTTCGGATTACATATTAAAAAACCACATCCATACCCACATTAAAATTTTTGATACCACATTTGGAAAAATTCTCTCCATGAAAGTTTAAATTTCACTAACATTTTTCTCCTTTGACTTCTTATGCCTATCATGGTTTACAATAGTTATTTTTTGTTCCTGATGGTAACTAAAATATATATTTATTAAATGAGGTAATACTGTAGGAGAAGAAATGCGTGAAAACAGAAAAGTAAATTTAAATAAAGTTGTTAAGATAAGAATGTATTTTTGTTGAACATGTCTAATTGACTATGTATCCTGCCTTCTAGTACTACTGTCTGAAAATAATACTGAGTAACTACAATCTACTATTTATAAAACTCAATAGAATCTCATTTTGAAGACAGCTTATCCTACATTTAAAAAAAGAGATGGTTGTTTAAGGCTAAATGTTATATTAAGATATTTCTGAGTACTGCACATTTGGAAGGGTCTAGGCTAGGGGTCCCCAACCCCCGGTCCATGGACCAGTACCGGGCCACTGCATGCCAGCAACCGGGCCACACAAACAAGCAAAGCCCCATCCTTGAGATGCAAGCAGCCCACAAAAACACGCACCCTCTGGTCCATGGAAAAACCTCTCTCCATGGAACCGTGGCCAAAGGGTTGTGGACCTCTGGTCTAGGCTGTTTTCACACCTTATGTTAAATAAGCTTTGCTTTAATCATGGCTTGCTAAATCAGAAAGAAACCACCACTGTGTTCTGCTTATTAGATTTATATCCTGCCTTTCATTCAGAAGCTCAAGAGGGCATGCATTGGAATCCCTCCTTCGGTTTTTTCCCATGGAAACCTTATGAGATATTGGCCTGAGAAAAGTGGAGAGTGCAACATCACCCAGTAAGAAACTGGACCTCCATATTCCTAGTGCAAGACATTAAGCACTATTCAGGAAACAAAAACCTAATGAAAGAACACAAGATCCTTGGGAAAACAAATAGAGAGTCTGTAACTCATAACCCCAAATACTTTAGCCAAATTTAGGGGAAAAAATGAAGGTATTACAAAAATCTTCCCCTCCCTCTCCAACAAAATACTACAGGTTGTTTGAAGAGCAGAGGATTTCTTCCATCACTCACTTCCACAAAATGGGACTTGAACTAAATCCAGTTGCAATACATTATTAGTTTGTTCTTTTTTGAGCTAGAGGTGATATAAGTGATTGATTATGTGCAATCAAGTCGGTGTCAAGTCTTAGCAAGAAGACTAAACAAATATAGGTGATGATTAAATGTGAGATACATGGGTCATTTTGCTTTTTAGGTACTTTCCTCATAAACGGCTTGCTCTTCTGCTTTGCTGAAGAGAAGGGAAACCCGATAAAATAACCTCATAGCGTAAGGTGGCACAACCAAAATTAGTGAATTGACTGGTCATTCACAAATAGCATCAAAAGATTTCTTACTTTTGCATTCTCTTTACAAATAAGGAAAAGCTTAAATGTTAAATTCGGTTACATCAATCATTCCAAGTAATGGGCATGCTCCAAAGCTCTGCAACATTATAAAAACTCAAGTGATAACTTTGTTTTTATATAGAAGCATATTTATTTTTTGTTATACAAATGTTCTGTACCTCAAGACTTCCAAATATCTG